GAGCAACGCGCTTCAGTATTATGTGGCTTTCGCTAAGACGGCGCATAAAGCCTGGGTAGATTTCCGGCTGATATTCGCACCTAGCCCCGGATTGAAGATCCACCAGCTTCGCAAGAGGATCGCGATGATGAGACAAGACTACTTATTTCGGGAAGCTGAATCTGGCTTACGAAGAGCTGTCGGAATATGATCCCGTGCCGGAGTGTGTGTGCGTTGGTTGCAGGTGCGAGATCTCGAAACGGGCAAAAGAGGCGAGAGACAAGGAGAGGATTTTCGCGTTTCTGTTTGGTTCCAACAATGACATAGGCATCACCAATTCTCTTGTTTATGTTCTCAACGTCGATTGGAAGATCCACCAGCTTCGCTATTGGGTCGCGATGCGGAGGCAAAACGGTTGCTCGCTGGCCCTTTATTTCAGGAATGTGAATCTTGCTTGGCAGGACTTGTCGGAGTATCATCCCTTGCCGCAGTGTGCGTGCGGTGGTTGTGGTTGCGACGTCGCGAAACGTGCCTCAGAGGCGAGAGAAAAGGAGAAGCTTTGCGGGTTTCTGATGGGTTTGGACAGAGAGATGAAAAGTTTGAAAGCACGTATCAGGCGCATGAATCCTCCTCCATCTTTAACACAGGCCTATTCTCTGTTAGTGAGTTGGACCTGAACTCTCACTGTCTTGTCTAGGAAACAGGTCGATCACTCTTTGTTTGCTTTCTAAAATTTTTTTTTTTTGGTCACGAAAGATTTTTCATAGATTAGTTATTCTCTTTTAAAAGAAAAAAATGTCTGCAAACCATGAAAACAATGCCATCAAGGCTAATAAAAACAATGCAACAAAAGCTAACTATAAAGCATTGAGAACATAGATAGAGACGAGCCAGACGTTTGAACAACTAAAGCCGTAGAAGAACTCGACGCTATTGTTGCTAGACGGTAAGACGACGCTCCGGGAATCAAAGACCACACTAGATGATCTATTGCCCCAGATTGAAACTGCAACAAAGGCAGCATAAATGAAACAACCCGATCCATTTTTTTTTTATATATAAATTAGCACCGAATTAGCATCCCCATAAATGCTAACCCTCAACAT